ATATACTCTCTGTACCCAGAGAATCTTATACACCCATTTTTTAATTTCATCTCCCTAATCGATTAAACAGATTATCTTTTTCTAAAAGTACCTGTAGAAATACTAAATAACGTCTTAAATAAAGTTCATATTCATCGTTTTGAAAACATGAACACAAATAGTAAAGAAACCTAGTTGTAAGAGCGAGGTAATCTAACTCTAACATATTATTATTATTATTTATAAACAGGTCTAAGTCCATTACGTACAATGAACATATAACGAGGAACGATTAAAATAAAATAAAACTAAAATATAGATACTTTGACCAAAAAGAAATAACGCGTTCCACGAAAGGGAACGGAAATAAATATTTGCCTATTCAATCGTCGAGGCGCGAATTAAAATTGACGCAAAAATATGTCATCGAAGGGGGGAAAAAAAATCTTTATAATGATTCGAGAAACTTCTAGAAGGCCTTTGAAACCCCATCGCCGCACGAAAGCTAGGACCAACGGTTCCCGCGACTCGAATGCGAGAGCCGGTACCACGAGCACCCTTTCCTTTGCTCGTTTCTTTTTCCTGTCGGACTTAGACATCCCTAGTGGCGCCTCTCTCAGGATATAAATTAATTAGATTTGTGTGGAGGTGTGTCAGCGAAGTGCCGGCACTGTGTTTCTTGCCCTGCGACCGTCTGCTCTGCCGCGTTTCAACTCGCTCGAATGGCCTACTCTGGTCCACTACCCTACAGCCAGTTTCACAAGATCCAAAATTTACACGTTTCTAGGCATGCAGACGTGCCCCCTATTTCTACGCAACCTCGTTACATTAATCTTCTCTTCGAACACCTCGATTTTCTTTATTTACCTGAGAAATTATCTAAATATTACGTAGTTTCTTTTTGCACAAAACCAGTAAAAACATATGCTCGCCATTGTTAATATTTACAGTTCACGTTTTTCCAGTCAAAAGAGGAGAGCTTTGGCAATACGTGAATGTTTCGCGACGAAAATGCATCAAGGGCCGGGCGCAACACCTTTGAAACGACGTGTACGCGTCGGCAGATAGGTCTGCGCATAACGCATGATGTATGGTGGGCGTGAAACGGGCGTAGTAACATAGTAACATTTACTATATCGGCCAGAATTGACTAGCGGCTCTCTCGGCGAGTTCCTGCGACCGAACGGTTGTAGGATTAGCCACGGGGATCGTGCCAATATCGATCTCTGACCTAAACGAGTAAATTTTTCACGATCCTCGCAATGAACAACGGTCTCGCAAATGGCGCCAAAACTTACGGGAACCTCGTTCGCGTTTTAGCGTTTCCTTACTGGAAATCGTCTATCGTCGAGCAAAATAAGTGTGTGCTAAACTTTTGAAAAGGTGGAAACATCGCAGAGCTCCAATTACGTTGGCGTTTGTTGCAAATCGCAAAGGAACTATCGGAACACAGACGTGTCGTGCATAAATTCAAACAAAAACGTACGATCGTTGTCGATAAACGGAAGATCGATGGCACCGTACGAATGGTCCACTTTGCGAAATATTATTCGCAATTGCGACGCGTTACAAGTTTTAACAATCACGCGTGGTACACGAAACGGATGTTGAGAAACGTTGCGAACGTCGCAAAGCTCCGTTAACCGTTGCGTGTGCTTTTTGTCGCGTCGAAATAAATGGCATCTAGCGTTTCGACATCGTACAAACTGCTCGTAGAAGCATCCCGGGTGAATAGAAGAATGAACTCACGTTTATATTGCCAAGGTGCGTTGGAGGGCTGACACCCCTGCGGCTACCGCCGCCCCCGACCTCCGCGTCCAGCTTGCCGACTCGGTCGATCTCGTAGATCTCAAAAATATCGATGCACAAGCCTGGTTCCTCCAACAGGGGAGACGCGGGAAGCCTCCAACGGCCCTACTCGATCCTCAGAAGGGTCTGTTAGTGCACCACAGTCCACACTGAACAACAACAACAACAACGAACACTGTGTCACGAGTTAGGATCACTTGCCGGTCAACGGGATTCGGTAACATTCTTTTTCGCGGCTCGCTACTGTATCGTTCCGTGGCTCGGGTTCGACTGTGGATTCTTCGACGCGTGTGTCCATTGACAGTCACGGAGGGAGGAATCGATAACGGTGCAAGAAAAATTGTTCGCGAGACTTTTGTTGTGTCGAGCACGGTGAATTCCAGAAGTCGAGGTGTTTACTATTTTGAAGTATAAGGGTACCGAACTTTTTCAGAACGTGTACACTGGAGCCGTGAGCACTGGTTGGGTCGAGCACAGAATTCCTGTAAAATCGAACGAACCGCGCGTTGAAGATGGTACCGGGCACAGGCGGGCAAAATTTCGCGTCGAATCACTGCTCACCCCGTGTCCACCGACATGTCGCGAGCGGCGAGTAAACGGCGAATCCCGTGCGTTTTCGCGATCAAGCACGAGGACGGGCGAGGGGTGAACGGTTTCGGTAGCGACAGACGCGAGAATCGGGAGCGGATCGGCTAGGAATCGGGACCGGTCTCCTCAGCTCGATCGATGGCATGCGCGGCGGCTACGAACCTGTTCGTCCGTTTTTCGCCTTATCGACAGAGTGTCGGCGCGAAAAACGAGCATTCACGGGTGTGGACAACGACGACGATGACAGTGGCGAGTCGGCGTGTTGTGTATCCGCCTTAAGGGCCGTCCGTCGCAGACGCATGCTCGCGGCACGTCGCAGCCTCTCGCACTGACCGCGCGTAACACGCAAGAGAGAGCTGCGTTACCGTGTACTTTGTCTCTCCCCCTCTCTCTCACTCGCTCTCTTTCTCTCTCTTCTCTCTTTCTCTATCTCTATCTCTCCCTCCCTGACGCCTTTAATCGAAGCTATCCAACTTCGTCGCGCTCTCGGGCGACTCGTTTCGACTCGCGTGTCTCTGGTCGACGGTGTTCCGGGGACCTGTAGCGGCGCGTAGAACCTCCTCGTGGCGGTGTCCGGACGGGAGACACGAGTCTCGTCACTCTGCGGACTCTCTTTGAATCTCTTGCGCACTAACTTCGCGGCTATCCGCGGTACTCCAGCGAGGAACGTTGAACGCGAGCCTGGAATTGCCGTGGCGCCACCCCTCCTCCCCTCCTACCCTTCTCCACCCATCCACCTGATCGTCTTACTCCGTGAGTGCCACACCACGGGGCTTGTGCTGCCTCCACCGCCTCGTCCCTCCCTATTTTTCCCTATAATTTGCTCCGCGGCTGCCTCTTTTTGTTTTATTCCGTTTTCGTACCCCTCCTCTTCCTCTCACCCGCCCCCGATATCCCCTTCGTTCGGCCGCTGTCTCGCTTTCGTGCATTCTTTCCGTCTCCTCGGACGTCTCCCTTCCTCCTTCGCCGTCTAGCTTTCCCTCTGCCTCTGTCTTCGCGTCTGCCTTTCTGCCTCTACCTCTACGTGCCAGCCATGAATCTTTGCCAGGGCTACGGGGCTACGGCGCGCCGCCCCCTTAATGGGGCTTCGCGGGCTTTTTCCATTCACCGTGCAGCCATCTCTTGGTGGGAATACGAATGAAATGGCCCGTCACAGTGCCGTACAAGCTTTCCCGGTTTCTCTCCCCGATCGACGATTCCCTTACAACCCTTCCAGCCACTCTACGAACCTTCGACCTTTCGGAAGAAAGAAGCTCCAATTAATCTTCCTTGCGCGGTTCCTCGGAGGGGCGTGCCAACAGGAAGATTCTTATCGAAGAATATTCGATTTAGCGATCAAGAAAAAAGCCGAAACTATGTTACACATTTTATTGGAAAGTATACAATTTTACAGCATTAAGCTCACCTTTAAAAAAAATTATTTTGAAATGTTTTCGTCGCTTTCGTCTAGAAAATCTGAGCCATTAACATCGCAACTGTTTGTTTCGTTCGTAAAACGATAACAATTGATATACGTTGAATCAAAGAAGCAAAATAATAGTGTTTTTAAACAAAATTACACTACCGTTCGAATTTTTGAATTAAAATAATACTACTTGGAAGTCGGATGCCCTTTGTAATCGACAAAATTCACATCCTCTATCGAGTTTATCCAATATTAAAATACCGGAAACAAAAATATTTGCAGTTTGTTAAATTGTTGTTAATCGACGATGATCTAAAGCGCAATTCGACAAGAATCTTTCAATTTGTCGGACTTCGCGAACAATCCCATCGGTCGTAAGAATTCGCAGACAACTATTTAAGGTTTTTTTCGGGGAACGATTTTTTTTTTTCTTTATTGGAAACACCTGTCAGGAAGGAAATCATCGCGCAGGACTGGTCTCCGAAGTATACCTACGTCGCATTGTGTTTCACAGACAGGACTCACGACGTATCGTATGACAGGAAAATGTCAGGGAGGAACCTGATATACGACAAGGGGATGATTCGTTATTATGTGAAGTTTCACGGTAAATCTACTCTCCAGCCCCGTACAAATTTCACGTTCGGTTTAATCACGCCCATCGCCGTTCCTACAGGAGAATTAAGGAGCACTTAGGCTGTCGGGGTTGATCGAACGAAGTCGATTATTCTGTAAAAGAATTCTTTTAATTCGGATTATATAACTTAATTACATTCACCGAGACTAATGTATAATTTACAAAAATATACAATGTTTCGTTCTATATACAATAATTACAGCGGGAAACAGGAACTTTTATCAACGATACAATTATTTACAAGGACGGACCCAGCAATCCTCGGTCACGTCGACTCGACGAACACCGATCTCAACGATTTTTCTTGTACATTGAGCAGCAAAAAACGTTGTTGCGAGACATAATCTTTCGATTGGTAAAACAGGCAATTCCCCCAACGGTGGATTCTGATTCGCTCCGCCAATCGAAAGCCTCCAGCGATATCTTCATCGCTCTGTAGTGTACCAGGGTTAGTCAAAATTTATTCACAGATTACGACTAACTTCCATTTATGTTTTCTCATGCATCAGAAATCGCGGATGAAAGCTACTTCGGAATTAGGAAAACTTTGCGTCGCGTCGAGGAACGTATTAATACGCGACTCTAGATTACGGTGTACTGGCCGCCTATCGGCGGATACGCGTTTTGCGCGGGCACCGATGGCAGCGAGTTCTCCTTGTTAGACTCCTTCTTGATCGCGGAACTTTTTCTCTTCTGGTTCTCGTGGGTTTTCACGTGTTTGGTCAGATGATCGCTCCTCATGAACCGTTTGCCGCACGCGGGACAGGCGAATCTCTTCTCGCCGGTGTGCGTTCGCAGATGACGTTGCAACTCGTCGCTCCTGGTGAACCTTTTGCCGCAGAACAGCCAGTGGCAGACGAAGGGTCGTTCGCCGGTGTGCGATCTCAGATGCGCCTTTAGATGAGAGGTTTTGCCGTACACTTTGCCGCAACCAGGCACGTGGCATATGTGCTGTCTCTTCCCGTCGACGCCCAAGTGAACGCCGTTGTCCGTTTGGCAGTTTGGACATCGACATCTCGTGCACTTCCTGCCGGATTTACCGGGCTCCTCCGCGACCAGAAGATGATGGTCCGCCGGTGGCGTAAGCGGCCATTGGTAAGAGTGATCCTGAGGACTCGGTGGAAGCTCGGCGGGACTCGGCGGCAAGGAATAGTGCTGAATCGCCGAGATGGTCGTGAATTGGGTTTGGGCGAGATGAGTTTGCGTCGCCCACGAGGTTGTGCTGGTTGGCACAGTCGGCATCGTGTAGGCCGGCGGCGTCAGTGGCTCGGTAATTTGACTGTGACTGGTCGATCCGGGATACCAGTAACTCGGCTGGCTGGCTTGCAGATGATGACTGCTTAACGTCGGATTGTAAGGCTGATAGTGAATACCCGGACCGCCGTAATCCATCGCGGCGGACTGATGCATCGGCATCGAGAGGCCGGACATCGGCGTCATGCCTGGCATCGGCGACATCGTCGGCATGCACATCTGTAATTACGAATAAAGTTATTTTCAAATCGGTTACAAGCTCTATTACCGAGCGTATCGCGGGCTATTTCTTGTTTCTTTAAGAATCTTTAAAACTTAACGGTAAGTATCGCAAGATCGAATCACTTTTCAACGGCTACGATCGATTTCACCGAAACGACTCGTGTTTACGGGAAATAGATTATTAACGGACCTGTTGATACTGCATTACTTGTGCCATCACTTCACTTCCTGGTTCACAATCGTCTCTTCGGACACTGGTTATTATTCCTCTGCTGTGCACGGTCGTTCGGCACGTGTGCGCGAGAACGGAATAAGAAACAAAGTATGTAATCCTGTAATCTTGATCACTTGGTATCGCGGTGTGCGACGGGCAACAGAGACGAAAACGAAAACGAAAACAGGACTGAAGAGAACCGTGCGCGGATCGGAGCGTGCGCGGCTCCGAGCGTTCGTCAGATAATTGCTGGTTGCCGACCGTGTCGCCTCGGTTTTAATAACCGAGTGGACAAGGAACCGACGAAGAAGGGAGGAGGCTGAATGCTCTGCCGGGTTCCTCTATGGAGGAGGGGATAGACCCCAGTGAATCCTGCGGCCTGGTGCGCATGCGCCCTCCCCTCCATCGGCTCATAAATCAACCCTGCGTTCCGAGGATAGAGGATCGAGGCTACGCACCTTCTGTGGTCGTCCCTGGGGGCTGCCTCATGCCGTCGAGGAAAGCCTTCGGCGATCCTACGGTACTCTCATCGCAGCATCTCCACTCCGCGACAATACTATAAGACGCTAGATAAAACCGTATAAATCTTTGGCGTAAGATAGAATTTTATTTACCCGCGCGCAAGTGTGTTATTTCTTGCTTCGGGGGACGTCTGTCGATGTACCGTTGTTACTTATTAATAGAATGCGGATGTTTATGCATTTATGGGAAATTTTGATTCTCAAAAAACTACAGAATGCACTTAACGCTAGAACCTTCGACAGTTACGGCTGTATTTATTTGTACCAAAGACATTGAAACGATAGATAGTCGAAGCAATTTATAATGTAATGGAAATAAATGTTTATTCGTTTTCTTATAGAAAACTACGGTAAATTTTTTAGAATTTTTAATAGAAATTACGAATGGATCATTTTGACCACTTCGGTAGTTCTAGTGTTAGTATGCAAAAATATAAAAAATACTTAAAGATACGAATTATTATATTTAGGGGTTTCGATAGCCCTTTGCAAAGCTCCGATTTCATTAATTCTATTAATAAAAATATGAATTTGCATAAAGATCCGCAGTCTACTCTTATTACCAATGTTACGTTTGAGAATTCGAAAGTTGCACGAATCATTCATTAATATAAGTCATTAACATTTTGTTAGGGCAAAATCGCGACATCTATTAATCTATGTAAAAATTGTTAGAAACTGGAAGAACTGGTATTATAGAGTCTAGATATTGGCACTTTGCTCCTAAAATAAACTTATCTGTAATTTGAATTCTATTAATCTAAGCGTTAAAATCTTCGTTACAAATATGTGTCTTTGTGTTTACTGTAAAGTAAACGTACGAGTTATAAACAACTTTTTGAACGCTATTTAACCAGTTATACTATGTATATATGGACAGATTCTTTGTTTTTTATAACTTCTAACATTCTTCAACACTATTTTTCTGTACACTATTAAACTGCTATCCTTCTCTAGTGAGTATTCCCCAACAGTTTTAGAAAAATATCCATTTCTTTCCTTTGAAAATGAGTTTTTACTGCGTTTGCAATATATATACGGTCGACAATCCCAGAATAATAATAAACGTATATTATCTGCACATTTTCAAATGCGATTTTCTCGTAAACGAAGCTTCAAACGGAAAGGCGTTATTCCTCTTCTTCGACTTATTTCCACACGTTTCACTGTTACAAGTAATTTAAAACTAGTCATCCTATTGTGTCTTTTAAAACATGTCGTTCAGGCTATCTTTCACGATTTTAACATACTGCATAATATTTATGTTTTTCTTGCAAACGTGGAATAGTTTAAAAAACATTCCCCAAATTGGTCCGCGACCTCGCCGTTAATATCGGCATCTTTTTTTTGTCAGAAAAAATCGAGCCGTGTGAGCGGCGATCGAGCCTCCAGGTGAAATTATTGCTCCACGATTCGACCGCCCAAGATTCGAGAAGCTGTCGACTCGGTAGGCAATAATTATCGGTAGAAACGTCATAAAGGCAGGAGGAATGAACTTAATCGCTCGAGTTTAATTAGTGGATAAGGCATTTGGGTTTAATTAGCGGTCCTGGAAGCCGGTGACGCTTCGCTTCGAAATATTGACGTTAGCACGTGTTGCTCCTATATACGCTCTGTCATAATTGCGCGACAGCGAGTTGTTGTATGCGTGGGAGTTATGTTTCACCTTGCACGAAACCATTACGATTAATGTGATCCACTCTTACTGACTTTACACTACGATCAATCCACTGGCAATAGAAAACACAATATCGAAAAATGGCTACTGTTGGTGCAATATTAAAGGAACTAGGAAATAATAGTTATATGATCGAAACACGATAGAAAAGTTGTAATAAATTGCATTTTTAATTAAATTAAATTAATTAAATTATTTTTGTTTTCTTCGAATTAGGTAGGGTTCTGTTCCCAAAATGTGCAGAAAATTGTTCTGAAAATCTGTGGAAGAGTATTTACCTAACAAAATTAAGGAGTAATAAAACTATTGCTACAGGGGAATAATAATTAATACAGCGTTATTCTCAAATATTATAAAATACAATAAATAAATATAAATGTGCGTACTATATTTATACAGTCAGAAGTTTTCTATTCCATATTTTTTAACACGGGCATACAACGTTCGCGCTGACAAAGTAACGAGTTTGTTTATTAAATTTGTAGAGTACACGACATTTATGCAGCATACATAAAGGTTAAAGTGCTGTTCGAAAGACGTAAAAAGATAAATTTAACAAAAGCTGGGTATACAATGTACGTGTTGTATGCCATTGACATTTACGATGTTCACTAGTGAAGAAGCTGTCGTAAAAGTAAAAAATTCAGCAAATCCTCGGACCTGGTGGAGTAAATGATGCTCGGTGGTGGGTGAAAGGAGTTAAAGTAGAATTTTCACGGTATTTAGGGGTCCTTTGACGATCGTTGACGGAGGCTGGCCCAGATTTGCAAAGACGTATCAAAGCGTGGAGAGGCCCGCGACGGTTCCCCGGGTACATGGAAGCACGTGATAACGGGCACCAGTTTCCCAAGGTTCTTGGTCCGCTTTGTGGCGTACGTCGGACCATAAATCTATGAAAGATCCTGGTCCATGCTGGTAGGACGCATTCACGAGACGTCCCACCGACTGGGGCCCACCGAGAGCTTCACAGCCAGCACAAAGTCTCGGTTTAAGGTGGCTGTAAAGCGATCATTGGCAGGACGAGGTGACGACACTTTCGCGCTACCGATCCATACCAGATAGGCACCATTATTGCGCCTTGCTGGGCGCACAATACGCCGCCAGCAGTCCTCTGCAGGTACCTACAAAGGCAAAACTACCGCTGCAGAAACGGGGACAAATCGTTGCACTTGGCACGCGAAAGATAACTTTCCTAAAGCATGATGGCTTCTGGGTCTGGTGCAACGGACGATAATATTAGTAATTTCTTCGACGTTCAACGAGCTTCTATCGCGCGATCTCTTCCAATCTTGTTTATTCAGCCACGGAAGGACCATTTTCTTGCCTCGATAATCTTGGCAGTTGACGAAGGTCGTCGTTATCTACCAGTGCCTGCCATTCAACGAGGATTCGAACTGGATGCGAAAATAATAAAGTCGCGTCATTGCTTTTGTGCATCGTTCGTACAATTTTCAGAAACGCGTCGCGATAACACCGTTATAGCGACGTTAAACGCTTCTGCCACGCGCTAGTCGCATACCGGAAAGAGATTATCAGCTTCCGGCGCGCACGATTTATCATTCGACGTTACGTTCGCGCGGAGAGAAAACAACAGAGATAGCCAGACCGGACCATTGATCTTCCAGAATAATTTCCAAAGACCGCAAGGCTCTCAGGGGGTTTGATGTTGTTTGTCAAATTCATCGAAGGCATCGTACGGACAGGAGCACCGAAAACCATGGAAATTGGACGGTGCTGGGTGACACATGTCCAAGCGAGTGCCAGCCACATTGCAACTGCAGCAGCATCGTCGTAAATCTTAGGACGGTGTAGCGGTCGAAGGGTGAAAAGGTGGGTGTACGCCCAGAGCAACCCTTCACTTTCCTCTGTTCGAGCTGGCCATTGTCCCCTAATAAGCCGCTTAACGTCTCGGCTAGAGGTAAATTGCTTCTCCGGTAAACAGTACTCCCACGCGGACGATCGAATCCCCCGAGGATCGACATTTTTCCGGAAACTTGTTCCACTCTATACCACAGTTATTCTTTATTAACGCGAACCCCACGATTCCGTTGATCGTTTCGATTTTCGATCCTGTGCGTGTCACGGGTCGTTCGAACGAAGAACTTGTACCCAAACACAAATTGTATAGCGTTTGGTCAGGTTCGAACGAGTCTTTTGGAGTTTGAGATACAGAAACATCAATCATCGTACGGATATAATTGCAACATCATATTAAACTTTTTTATCTATGCGTATTCAAAACGATGTTTTACTAGTCTTAAATAGGGCTTGCACAATCAGAAAATGAGATTTTTGTTTGAAAAGCACGTTTGGTTATTCAGGAAAATAAGATGTCTCGACACGTTTGAGAACAAAATTTATCAAACTTTAAATTATAATATTAAATTATGGAAAAGCAGAGGTATTTTTAGCCGCCTCTCCCCTATTGATCACAACGCGCTTGAAAACTGCTAGGATCATGGCAGGGCTTCCGTTTGAAAAGTTACGCTAACAAAACTTACGTAACCCGATGTTATCGATTATCAACACCAATGGACCACCGCTGGAACGGTGGCTTTGTAAACGATGTGTAATAAATGAATATCGAACGTCGCTATGAGCTATGGAGAGGCTCCTTATACGCTGGCGAGACCGTTTTCTCTCGGACCAGTGATTAATGACGAAGTACGGTCTGCCGTCCATTTGTTTAAACCCGAACAGGCCAGAACAACGAACCAGCTTGCTAATCGGACGGTAGGACGTTATTAGAATCAACCCGGTAGACGGTATATATAGTTTTGTGAGTAGAGTTAATTTCGTAATTAACCTTCCAAGAAAGGTACGGTTAGTCGGAAAATGAAAATTAAGGTCAACAGGTAGATTGTTACCCTTTATTCCGGAGTGTGTAAATATTAACGGCGGCTCTTTCCCAAATATTTTGCCAGTCAGGTACCTGTAAGCTCGAGACTGCTTACGGTGTAACTGGTCTGTTTGCGTACAAGATAACCAGCGATCTATGGTAAACGATGTTTACGCCCTTGTAATCCTAACCCGAT